CGGCCCGCGGCGCCCCCGGGCGGGCCGCGCTGCTCCGCGCCCCCGCCGCCCCCCACGCCGCGCCCGCCGCACCCGTGCGAGGCCGGGCCACGGGGATGCCTCTCTGCCTCTCTGAAGAGAGGACCTGGCGGGCGGGGGCACCAGGCTTCCGCCGCCACCTCCGAGGCCCGCGCCCCGCGCCCCCCAGCGCACGCCCGTCCGCGGCCGTGCAGCCGAGCCCCGCCGAGCAACCGAACCGAGCCACTCAGCCGAGCCCAGACGAGCAGCCGAGCCGCTTCGAGTGCCGCCGAGCCCGAGCCGAGCCCGAGCGAGCGCTGCCGGCTGCAGCTATCGTGACAACTGGTGCTTGCAGCTGTCAATCAGAGGCATGGCCCAATCAGCGCCGTCCGCCTGGACCGCCCCTCCAGTCTCTAAGAGCGCGCTGGGCTGCTGGGCCAGGAAAAGCGAGATTGGGGAGTCGTTGGGGCGGGGGCGAAGGGGAGGCCAGGACAGGGCCAGGAGCCTTCGGACCGTGCTTTAGCTGCCTGGTGCCTTGTCATTAAAACGAATGCCGGGCGGTGCAGGCAGCAGGCCTTGAGAAGACGTCCATGTGGTCGCCTTGGTCTGGGGGTTTCTCCCTACACCCCTGGGTTTTGGAAGGAGTTTTCCGCGCCTCGCGAGCGTTTTTCACATAAAACGGGGCCATTGGATCGTTGCAGGGCGCTGCAGTCGATTTTGGAGTGCTGGTCACCAGGCACAGGTGCTCCCTGCAGGGTGGGGATATTGAGCACTGGTGAAGATATGGCATGCAAGGTTCTGCAGGCGGGGTGGAGATACTGCTTTTAGGTTGGGGTGCTGCATTCAGCGTGGGTGCTATGTGAAGGCTAGAGATCCGAATGCAAGTAGTGATCTGCATATGAGGAATAATGTTTTATGCCGGGCGAGAGGGCTGTACACCGCAATGCCCAAAGTGCCCTGAAAGCCATTCTCCACCCGCTGTTTCTGTTCCCGTGGGAAGAAGGGGGACAGCGTTTTAGACACCGGTACAGCAGGATCAATGAACTCTAGCGGAGGCACTCTGCAGCAGGCTCCCTGGTGCCTCCAAGACTTAAGCTGCAGACCCTTCTATATTCAAGAAAAGCAGTAAGTCAAGGGATTCATGGTACTTAAGGTACAGAGAAGCCGCTGAAAAGAGTATGGCCTTAAGGCCGGTGGTGGAGGCAGTCAGACCTACAGGGACCTTCTTTTGTTTGCATAAAACCTTGTTTCCTTAAGATGTGCTGTGGAAGGTGGTGGAAGAGGAGAGATGAGAGCCAGTTGTACCTCCATGGAAGCTACGTCAGTCAACAGTATGCTAGGTCAACAAATCCCTGGGTTTGAAGTGTCACCTTCATCTTCAGGCACCTGCTTGCCCCTACTCACCCTAGGTGTCACAGTGTGAACTTGAGGAGGTCCCCACTCTTTCCAGCACTATCTGGGAAGGTCAATGGAGAATGGGGACATTGTGGCCTGTTCATATTTCCAATGTAAGAAAGAACTAGCCTTCAGAGCAGCTTCCCCTCCAAAGAGCTGGCCTGAGCATTAGAAGTGGTAGATTTAGGGTCACTAGGTACTAAGTGTTGTTCTAGAATGAACAGTACAGTCTTCTGTTAATGGGGACACACAGGCAGTCACATCGGCCTGAGGCCGATGCTTACACCACTAGGGGCAGTGGTGGTTTCTCAGCTGCATGTAAGAGTATTTGGGACCTTGGAGTGGAGTATTCAATGGGATTTGGCCAGGGGCGATCAATAGAGCATGGGTACCCAAGTCCTGGCCAATGATCCCCATAAGAGAAGAAAGGAGATGTCAGGTACATTCCCGTACCTATCCTGCTACCTGTCACCTGGTCGCCCTGCCTACCTTCCCACCTTTCCTTGGCAGCATTTGGTCTGTGGCTATCTTCATCTAGTTCCTAAAACTTTTATATTCAAGTCTCTGCTTTCCCCCTACCTGCAGTCTACAGCCTGCCTCTTAGTCTCTTCCCCTCTCTCTGGATGCTCATTTTTTTGTGTGTTCATCTAACCAGCACCAATCAGCAGGTCACCAGGGTCAGGTGTGGCATCTCTTCCCTTGGATGTGCAGCCCTCCCTGCAGGAGCAGCTGTGTCCCTGCTCCACCTACAGCTTTGTTTCAATAGCCTAGTGAATCTCTATTGCCAGGACCACCTGGAGCCCAGGTCCCAGCCAAATCTGTCCCAGAAATCCTCAAATTCTACAACTTTACAACAGTTGCCACATCGCTTATCCCTGTCTTTGTAAAACCACAAACACAAACTCTTTGGCCAGTCTGCAGCCATCCAAGTTTAGTGGGTCTGATACTGAAGGACAATCCAAGTAATGGTCAGCTAAGAGGCATTGTGATCATGACTAGTGGGGACCCTTTGTTCCATTGTATCTTGGGGACGGGAGCTGTGACATTCTGGTGCTTTTGAGCAAATTGGCCTGCTCCAGAGTTCCAAAGGGAAGTCCTTGTGCAAACCAAGAGGCCCCTCTGGCAGATCAGCCTCCCACTACACCAGTACTTTCAGAATTGCTTAACATAACTCAGGACCAACACCGGATAAAGACAGGTAAAAAACAAACAAACAAATAAACAAAGAAGGAAGTGGAAACTAAGAACCTAGTAACAAAAATCCTTAACAGAGTGTCAGCAAATTGATGCCAGTGATACATGGTAAGAAATCATGGGAACCTGTAGGGCTTTTGTCCAGGAATGTCCAGTTAATGTTTCAAACTAATTTTAGTAAGTTAGGCCATTGGGCCAGAAAAAAACTATAATACACATCATTTTTAAAAAATGTTTTCCTGTTACCCCATTTAGTGTCTGGATGGTCCCAGAGCACTAGCCTGAGGCCCCACTTTAGTTCCTCAGCCGTCTCCACCTCTTTCTTTTTGGTTTTGTTCTGAGCCAGGCTCTTTCTATGTACTAGATCTAGACTAGCCTTAAATTCACTACTGTAGCCCAGGCTGGCCTCAAGTTTGCCATGATCCTTCTTTCTCAGCCTTCCAAGTGTTGAGATTACAGGCATATGCTGCCATGCCTGTTTCTGCCTGCCCAGGGAGAGGGGCTACAGAGCATTTAGGGGAACAGTTAGGAGGGAGACCAAGAAACAAGGAGGGACTCAGGATGCCTGCAAACTAAGCCTGCTTCTAGTTAGCCTGGGCTGATCTAGAGAAAGCAATGGGGCTAGATAACCTAAGACCAAGACTAAGATGTATAGGTCCCAGGACAAAGGGACTACTTGGGGATTGCTTTTACAGAAATTCAGCCGTGGGGCCTGGACTTGGGAGGGAGCTGATCCATTTGCGGGACTTAGGAATGGTAGGCAACCAACCTGCAGGGCCACGTGGGGTGCAGTTAGAAAGTCATACCTCCACTTACCTTCACTGGTTCCTCCACCCTGCCTGTTATTCCATTCACATTTGTCCACGAGGGAAATGAGGCTAAGCAAACACAGCCCTGGCCTTGGGAAGGGTTGCACAGCACTCCAAATGTGGATAAGAGACTGATGTGTAGATACGTCTGAGAAGGACCACAGATACTGTGTGCTGTGTGCCATTTCCCACGCTTTAAAAAACTGAAAGCAGACTGGAGGGTCGAATCTTAAAATCGGAGCTTTTATGTCTTTACTCCTTTACTGTCTGTCACATGGGATGTTGTACAGAATCTGTCCCCCCCCCCCTTCAGCCGGGGCTCCAGAAGCCAGAGCCAGATGCAGGATTATGGGGAACAAGGAAAGGAGACATTGTTTCCAAGGCTTCCTGGATCGGTTTAGAGCATTAATCCATTTCCTGGGAAACAACCCAGGCCCCTGAATGCATTCCCTAGGAGACAGCACCAGGGGGCCCTCAGCCTGGCTCCTTCCTGTGCTGTACGTACAGTATGGCAAAGCACAGTGGAAGGCAGGTTGGGAGTATGCACCCACACCCAGGAAGGAGGAGAGAGGAAGGTTTGCAGTGGCAGTACTAAGCAAATGCAGTAAATGCAAGTACTGCAGTTGCCAGGAGCGTGCTTATTTTCTCTTCCCTCCACTCGTTGGGAGCAAGCCACAAAGAATTGATCCAGAGAGAAATTGTGTCCGAGGCACCTGAGCAGAGTGCTCTCTGCATGGACTCTTCCCAGCCCATTGGTAACAGTTGAATCAAGATGGGACGCTAAGCTATACCTTCAGCCACCATGGATTTTTTTTTTTTTTTTTTTTTTTTTAGCTTGACCCTCTTTGTATTGTCTCATTTAATGAGATGCTTTCTGAGGCAGGGTTGAGGCCCCAGCTAGGAGAGGTGCCCTGCATTCTCATCCCGCCTGCTCTTGCCTGTAACGAGACTATTTATGGTTTCAATTTAGTTTTTATTATTATTGCTGTTTGCTTTTCAGAGTTTGGAGATGTACATCAAGGCTTCTCCCGCCTCACACGCCTCCGAAGCGTTCCTCGGCTGCTAGGGAAGACGAGCATCACACTCATAGTGAACGGTGATAATTAAAGTCAACATCTCAGCACACTGAGTCCATTTCTTGAACACCTTTTTTATTGCTAGGTAACCCTGTATGTCAATTCTCTATACCCAAATAATCGGTGAG